AACACTCAACATCTAACCACTCACAAGCTGTAGTAAGATACTGTGCAGATCTTAAATAAACAATGTCAAGATATGATACAGTTCATTATACTGTAAATTAAGTACATTTAATATGGTGTTCATTGTGTTTTATAAATAATCATACTCTTAAACTTATAACCACAAATACGTAAGTATTATGATGTATTATAATTGTTGTTATGATTATTCATGAGTTGATATAACATATTATAAGTTTTTTTATAATGCATTATGCATTCATTATAATGCCTTAAGAATACCCTTATAATGAATTATAAATACGGGCTTCATAGAAAGTGTTACCAAAATGGTTTTCCAGACACCAATATTTTAACAGTTCAGAAAAATCATACACACTGTCACATCTGATTCTCTTAGTATGCATGATTTTGTTTGTTTGTTGTCATTGATACATGATAGCATTAGTCTAGAATACAATCAACAAATCAATCAATCAATCAATCTTATTGTAATATCTGATTACTTAATTTTAGGGAATTAATTATTATTAATTCATTCAGGTTTTGAAAGGACTCGAATCTGAAAATTCGAAGTCAACCTGATTAGAACTGATTTCAAATTTTAATGGTTTACACCTTATCAACGGTCGTCCAGCGAGACGTTAATGTCCGTGTATCTTAACCATCTGACTATGTGTATTTTCCTTGGCCACAGGTCAATACAATTATGATAATTTGTAAGCTCCTAGCGAGGTAACGTGATCTTGGCAAGGTTTGACTTTAAACTTATACGACACCAGACAATGATTCTTTATAAATGAAACACGAATTTATTGGCTATTCTAGATTACATTAAAACTAAGCTAAAACACACATACATACACACACATACATACAGTTCGGAAGAATGAAAGTTACGGAGTTTGTATGAAGTTCCCAAAGTTCTAACTCGTTTCCACGAGTGGTTTTAAATTCAACCCGAGAGAATCACAAAGCAGAGATTTGTCTTACGTTTACTGCTTGATTATCAATTCAGCACCGATTTCAGCAGATAGGAGCTTTGTTTGTACTTGCGTTTTGCTGAAATCTGAGAAGCGGAGGGGTTTTCTCGTTGCTGACAACAGGCTTCCTGGATGGCTGCTTGAGGGAATCCCGGAGCTTTCGGATTGGTTGCTGAGATGACGTTTGGGTGATGTCCTTTTGGGGAAGCCTTCCGTGGTGATTGGAGGTTGCCTTGTGACGTAGGAGCTTCGAAAGTCGGTTGCCTTGAGCACGGAGAGTGATGTTTGGAGTTCTTCTGAGATTTCCTTTTGCTTGGCTTTAGACTTTGAAGTTCGGCAGTCGCGGAGTTTCAGCTGAAGTGTTTGAGTTTTGGAGTCTCGCTCGTGCAATGTTACGGCATGGGAGCGCTTGTAGCGCGGTCACCAAAATGAAAGCCAAAGGTCTTGAGAGAGAGAGAGCGAGCGAGCCTGAGAAAGCTTTGTGTCCCTTTTAAGCAGGCTCGATGTTGGTCCATCTCACAGGTCGTTGTTCCAATCAGATGGTGGCTGCGGGCTTAGCCACGCCCCATACTGTTCCTTATGATGCATGAATCACATGCTTCCAGTGAGGCGTATTCCTGCAAGTTTTAATAACTTCTTATAAAGTGTCGTACTACACACACTGTTCAAAATACCACATTTTCATTCATACCAAGGTTATTTAAATATCATGACCCTTTGATTTAATCACATTATCACTGCTCTTTAGGTCCGTTGTTTTGCAAGCCTGAGGGTGTGATTAAATTACTCGTCCTCTTCCTGTTGGATGTAGTAGTTCATTCATTGGCGGTCACAAGAAATCACGAGGTATCTATAAGTTGTAGTCCTGATACAAAAGATCTCTGTGTTATCTCTTGATTAGATTGGTTCGTCATCTCATGATGAGTTGTTTCTGTGGCATATCAGTGTCCGTTCATGACAGAAATCCCTACAGACACAACCGACTGTGTTTACGTGAATACCATCAACCATGTCTATGCTTTATTTTTTCATTCATGTTGCTTTATCGCTCCAACGTGTCAAAAATTAAACAGTCCTATTTACAAAAATTAAGCAGCAGCTATTTATAAATTGCTATTTTCTTCTGTCCTGTAATGCCATTCAGTGAGCAAAATCTGATAGTATAGTACATGCTTAAAGGGATAGTTCACCCAAACATGGAAATTCTGTAATTAATTACTCACCCTCATGTTGTTCCAATCTCCTAAGACTTTCATTCATCCTCCGAACACAAATGAAAATATTTTAAATGAAATCAGAGAGGTTTCTGTTCCTCCATTGACAGCAACTTTCACTTCGAAGGCCAGAAAGGTAGTGAAAACATTATGGAAATAGTCCATGTTACTCCAGTGGTTCAACTGTGTAGCAAATTAGCTCAAAAGGGAAATGTATATAAATAATTACAGTTAATTATGATTAATTACAATTATTTATATCAGCTGCCAGTAGTAACTGTAGCAGAATTAAATTGCAATCAACCAATCTGTTCGTCCAGCGAACATTCAGTGTAAGTTCATATCAACTCTAGGAAAGGATATTTCCATGGCCACAGAAATACAATGCATTAGAGCATGTAGTAAGGATCAAAATCAAAAAGGGACATTAATTTGCAAGGCAGAATCTGAATCTCATGTAATTTGTGCACAAGAGTTTTATTGACTAAACACTAACACAAACTAGTCTAACAAACAAACAAACAAACACCGGAGCCTGGTGCAGACTTAAGAGTTGCAGGAGCATTCTAGCTCACATCCTCATCTTCTCAGAATCTAACAGAAGATTGTGTGTTGATGCAAAATTACTAAATATTCTTAGAACACTAATATATTGCCTATCTACCAACATATAATATACACTCTCGTTTAGATCATCAGAAGACAAATTCATAGAGACCAAACATGGTATCGGTGGGGTTATATTAACTAGTGATCTATCATAACACTCCTCATCTTCTCAGAATCTAACAGAACCGCAGACTGACTGACTATGTGTTGGAGCCCACCGGGCACGCCCGCACCGGCTCAGGCTCTCCACGCAATCAGAGAGTTTTAGCAGAAGACTTAGCAGAAGAAAACAACATGGGCGGAACTGTGCATGAGCCTTTTAAGGTCTGAGAAGATGATACTGGCTGGCACACACAGTATTTGTTAAATATAACTAAAAAAATTGTGTGTCTGATTGGTCCAGACGCTACAACTGAAATTTTCTGAAGCACTGGGATTGCTTTTTATGCGCCAAAAAAACTAAAATATTGACTATTTTCAACATGTTCTTCACTTTGCTTCAATCTCCAACACGCATTCACAAGAGCTTCTTCTTCTCCCATCCACAAGAGCACCACGATACATGCATGTAGTGTTGATGCGAGAGCATGACTCTCACGATACAACCCATACGCTGCAGTACGCAGTAAGTGCTGTACTGTTTGCAAGTAGAGGAATGCTGTATTACATTATTACAGTATTATTACAGTAGTCTTCCTCTGCTTGCAAACAGTACAGAGCTTCCGGTACGGGTTGTATCGCACAACATGCATGCGTCGTGGTGCTCTTGTGGACTGGAGAAGAAGAAAAAGCTCTTGTAAATGCGTGTTGGAGATTGAAGCGGAAGTGAAGAAAATGTTGAATCGTTATTTTTGTTTTTTTGGTGCACAAAAAGCATTCCTGTCACTTCAGAAAATTACAGTTGAACTACTGGAGTAACATGGACTACTTCATGATGTTTTCGCAACATTTCTGGGCCTTCAGAATCTGAATCAGAAGGAGCTTTATTACCAAGTATGTTTACACACACAAGGAATTTGACTTGACTATCTCCCAAGGTTTTTTTCTCCATTTCTGTCACCGATGGAGTTTTGGTTCCTTGCCACTGTCGCCTTTGGCTTGCTTAGTTGGAGATGCTTGACTGATTGCACAGACACTATTGGAAGAGAACTGAACTGGATGATGACATCACTGAATCATCAATGAACTGACTTTAGCTGGAAAAACGACTCTGTTATTGTCTTCTTGCATCATCGACAAACTATTTTCCTGTTTAACAACTGTAAAGCTGCTTTGACACAACCAGTATTGTATGAAGCACTATACAAATAAAGGTGACTTGACTTGACTTGGTGACAGGAGCTTCCAGTGCAGAAGAAAGTACACACATAGTGCAAACATACATGATAGTGCAGACATACATAGAATAACAAAGATGAAACAACACTAATATAAGAAAAACAGGAAAATAAATACAGAAATAGAAATACAGAGAAAAATATATACAGAAATAGAAATATAGAGAAAAAAACATAATTGTTTAAGTGAATGTACAGATACGTTATTTTCAAGTGTACCGTTTATGTAGTTTAAAGTATACAATTTCCAGATGCTATGTATAAAAGTGTCAGTTATGATGGACAGTGTGTAGTTGTGAACTTTTTAATTGTTCAGGCTGAATATGGCCTGCGGGAAAAAACTGTTCTTGTGCCTGGCTGTTCTGGTGGTCAGTGCTCTGTAGCGCCGACCAGAAGGCAACAGTTCGAAGAGAGAGTGTGCTGGGTGTATGGTGTACAAAGTGATTTTCTTTGCCCTTTCCTCAATCTGGAGGTGTAAAGATCTTTGAGGTTGGGCAGGGGAACACCAATGATCCTCTCAGCAGTCCTGACTGTCCATTGTCATCTCTTGATGTCTGATTTGGTGGCTGAACCAAACCAGACAGTTATGGATAAACACAGTACAGACTCAATGATGGCCGAGTAGAAATGTTTCAGCAGCTCCTGTGGCAGGTTGAATTTCCTCAGTTGGCAAAGGAAGTACAACCTCTGCTGAGCCTTTTTAGCAATGGAGTCTATGTGAGTGTCCCACTTCAGGTCCTGTAAGAGGTCCTGTAAGATGGTGGTGCCCAGGAACCTGAATGACTCTACTGCAGCCACAGTGCTATCCATGATGGTGAGTTAGGGTGAGTACAGGGGCGTTTCTCCTAAAGTCCACTATCATCTCCACTGTTTTGAGCGTGTTGAGCTCCAGGTTGTTAAGACTGCACCAGACAGCCAGCTGTTTAACCTCCTGTCTGTAAGCAGATGGTAGTGTCATCTGCATATTTCAGGAGCTTGACAGAGGGGTCTTTTGCTTTGCATTCGTTTGTATACAGGGAGAAGAGCAGTGGGGAGAGGACGCACGTGGCAATTAATATTGCTATTTAAATATGACAGGCTCGTAACTCCTAAGACATGGGAAATACAGTTGCAAATGGACTTTGCTTTTTCATTTGAAATTTGGCAGTCACTGTGCGTTCGCGAAAGCGAAAATGCAAACGGTAATGCAGGATTTGCAATTGCATTTGGATTATGTCACAATTTATGCGTCCACATATGGAAAACGCAATTGAAAATACAATTTGCAAGTCCTTGCAAAATTGTCCGGAATATCGTTCCATAATAGTGCACTGCAGGCATTCACAGGAATTACACAGTAGAGATAAAATATAACACTAACATAAGAAAAAAACAGAAAATTCAATAATGCAATATAATACAAAAGTAGAAATATAGAGAAAAAACATATAGAATTGTTTTAATGAATGTACAGATATGTTATTTACAAGTGTACAGTTTATGTAGTTTACAAATGTACAATTTTCAGATGGTATGTATAAATGTGTCAGTTATAATGGACAATGTATAGTTATGCAAGTTTTAATTGTTCAGGCTGAATACAGCCTGCGGGAAAAAACTTCTTGTGCCTGGCTTTTCTGGTGGTTGGTGCTTTTCCTCACTCTGGACGTGTAAAGATCTTGGAAGTTAGGCAGGGGGGAACCAATAATCTTCTGAGTAGACCTGACTGTCCGTTATAGTCTCTTGATGTCTGATTTGGTGGCTGAACCAAACCAGACAGTTATGGATAAACACAGTACAGACTCAATGATGGCCGAGTAGAAATGTTTCAGCAGCTCCTGTGGCAGGTTGAATTTCCTCAGTTGGCAAAGGAAGTACAACCTCTGCTGAGCCTTTTTAGCAATGGAGTCTATGTGAGTGTCCCACTTCAGGTCCTGTAAGAGGTCCTGTAAGATGGTGGTGCCCAGGAACCTGAATGACTCTACTGCAGCCACAGTGCTATCCATGATGGTGAGTTAGGGTGAGTACAGGGGCGTTTCTCCTAAAGTCCACTATCATCTCCACTGTTTTGAGCGTGTTGAGCTCCAGGTTGTTAAGACTGCACCAGACAGCCAGCTGTTTAACCTCCTGTCTGTAAGCAGATGGTAGTGTCATCTGCATATTTCAGGAGCTTGACAGAGGGGTCTTTTGCTTTGCATTCGTTTGTATACAGGGAGAAGAGCAGTGGGGAGAGAACGCAACCCTGAGGGGTGCCAGTGCTGATCGTGAGAGTCCTGGATGTGATTTTCTCACTAGCAGCTGCCTGTCTGTCAGGAAGCTGGTGATCCACTGACAGATTGGGGTAGGCATGGAAAGCTGGGTCAGTTTGGCTGAGAGAAGGTCAGGCATGATGGTATTGAAGGCCGAAAAAGTCCACAAATAAGATCCTTGTGTAATTCCCAGGTCTATCAAGATGTTGCAGAATGTAATGCGGTCCCATATTGACTGCATCGTCAACAGACCTGTTTGCTCTGTACGCTAACTGAAGAGGATCCAGCAAGGGTCCAGTGATGTCCTTCTGGTAGGCCAGGACCAGTTTCTCAAATGACTTCATGACCACAGACGTGAGAGCGACAGGTCTGTAGTAGTTAAGTCCAGTGATTTTGTTTTTTTTGGGGGACCGGAATGATAGTGGAGCGTTTGAAGCAGCAGGGAACGTCACACTGCTCCAGTGATCTGTTGAAGATCTGTGTGAAGATGGGGGCCAGATGGTCAGTGTAGACTTTTAGACAGGCGGGTGAAACACCATCTGGACCTGAAGCTTTCTAAGTATTCTGCTTTCTGAAGACCCGGTTCAAATCCTCTACACAGACCTTAAGCGCAGGTTGAATGGTGGGGGAGGCAGGAAGGGGGTTGCAGGAGGGGTGTGAAGTGCAGATCAGAGTGGGTGTGGGGTGGTAGACTGGGCTTTTTGAATCGGCAGTAAAACACATTCAGATCGTCAGCCAGTTGTTGATTCTCCGCAAACTGTGGGGGTGGTGTCTTGTACATGGTGATGTTCCTCAGACCAGTCCATACTGAC